AAATAGAGCAGATTAAAAAAATATCAAAGTGAATCACGCCTGTGTCAGATCACTTATTTTCTGTAATTTTGTTTCAGTTATGTAGAAAGATGGAAGTCTCTAGAAGGGCATGGCATTGGGTCCATTTTCTAGAAGTTTTGTAGCAGCCCCAATAGAATAAAAGTTCACTGCCGAGCTCTTGAAGGAAAGAAAAGATGCAGTGAAGCAGGAGTCCTGCAGAGTATCCAGCCAACCCACCTGAGCTGGAAATGGTTCCCCAGTATCCCTGCCCTGTACAGGTCCCGGGCAGGACTTCCTGGACCACGAGGGGGCACTATGGAAGGCAGAAGTGAGGCAGTAGACTTCTCTGTGCTCTGGAGGGTTACTAAAGGGCAAAGTGAGCTGTGTGCTCGCTGTGCGGTGGGTCTGCCAGCTCAGAGGTTGCCACAGGCGATAGCCAGGCCCACAGCCCCCCAGCTCATGCCTGGTCCTCCTGAATAGTGGAGGAGCTTCCATTGTCTCCAAAGGACGTGCTCATGATTGAATTGGAGGCTGGGAGACAGCAGAAGGCTGGCCCTGAGGTTTAGTCTGTTCCTGCATGTGTTATAACCTAAGCCCCCCTAACTATCAAGCTGAAGCCTGTTCTGTATAAAGCGCCACCTGCTGCTTTCCCTCTCCTTCTCCCTTCACATCTAACTAGGTTAAGTTTTAACTTCCCAAAAGGCCATAAAACAAAGGCCTGAGGTAATAGCTCCTGAAAACCCCCTTCCCTACCCGGTGGCCCGTCACAAATTGTGTTAATTGCATTAGATTGTATTAGATTGTACTATTCTTCACAAAAATAGCTTCGTAATATTTGTATTATAGCAATACCTATAACTTGGCCTTACTGTATGTGTTTTCCTAATCCCTTTGGGTGACCTAATTGATATGTTAATCAATACTCTCCTCTGTAAAGAATTGTAAAATCTTACCTAATTGATGTGTTAACCATTGTTGCCCTCTACAAATAACAGTTGTGGTGCTGAAGTAGGGTAGCTAAGGTTGTTAATTGCTGTTAGACTTCTCTATTCTTTGCTAAGAAAAACAAGATTTCTTCTTATCTAAACTTGCTTGTATGCAGGGAGACTTGCTTACCCTTACCTGATCTTGCCCTTCCCAAGTGTAATCGCCCTGTTTGCGCCACACCCCCATCCTCTTCCTTACATTGTGTGACCAGCAGCTGTTTGTGGATTTACAAGATAAAAGTCCTGACTTTTAGCTGTCAGGTGCGCAGTCTCCAAATTGGCTCCTGGAGGCTGTGTCACCAGGCCTGGAAATAAAGCCTTTGCTTCCCAAATTTTAATTTCTTGCTTCCTTGGATTTTATACCAGGGTCTGAGTTATCACAGCATGCTCAACATCACAATCAACCTTCTGCCAGATAGAGAAGCAATTGCTTCCTATCCAGCAGTGGCGAAGTTATGGCATGCATGCCACAGTGGGCTGTTTGCATCATTGAAAGCTCTAAGAGGTTTGCCACCACTGCTGTAGACTATTGAACTAGAATGATCCATGAAGTCAAATCCCATGGTTCTGCTTGTCTGCTAGAACCCTACATAAACAGTTCATGAGTCTCTTGCTCTGAAATCACATGTGAGCCCAGGAGCAACCTATAAGACAATGCCACTCCAGTACCCAGAGCAGTCGTCCATTCCCTTGCCTTCGGAGACTCCCAGGGTCCCCAGGTCCTCTCAGGAGATCCATGTCAGCCAAGCACCAAAGTCCACTTAGGAGAATCTCTGTAGAAAACCTGGTCTGGATTCACCCCATGGAGACATAGATAGAGCCTGGTCCAAAGGCTTCTTCCCTAAAGCCAATTGTACCTCACCCCACCCAACCTTGTCCCAGTAGGAACATCTTACAGTGCTTATCTCCCTTTTTAGAGCTCCAGTCCCAGGCCATAGAGCACTTTGTGACACCTGGCCAACACAATGTCCCCTCCAAACAGTGGCTGAGACAGTCATGGCAACCCGAATGCTTCATCAAATGTAGGTTTAGCAAGAAGCATGCAGCCCTATCCTGGAGAGCGAGAGTAGTTGTAACAATTGTTAGTGTTGCTTGCTCAGTATTTCCAGTAGGGGAAAATTTTATTTTCTGGTCTTTTTGTGGTTACACGGAGCTAAAAAACAACCTTGGTCCATGAATCATGAGAGGAAGCTAGAGCTTTTCCCAGCTGGTGTGAGACCCTCCAGAGCTTTCTCCCCTTAGCTGGTGCCACTGCTTCAGCCTGGGCCCCTGAGGTCCTTCCATGAGACAGTCCTTTTTCTGACCTGCGATGGCCTGTAGCATGAACAAAAAATGACCTTTGTGGTTTTAAGTCATTGATGCTTTGGAAAATTTTGTTACTACTGTATAACCTAGTTTATCCTGATTGTTAACAAAATTCTACTAGGGGCCAAGAGGACTTTTTTTTTTCCAAGAAGGAAGTATAGGGGTCAGGGATACAGTTCAATGGCACAGCACCTACCTGGCAAGTGTGAGGTCCTGAGTTTAATTCCTGGTACCAAAAAAAACCCCCCAAAAACATAAAACAAGAACCTGCAAATCTCCTGTCTTCTTCCAGATAAAGCAAATCCAGACGAGAAACCAGAAGCTTGGCCCTCACCTAGAGACCCAAAGCCAGTCTGAAGGAAAGCCACCATCTAGACATAACCCCAAGACAGAGGAGCAGAGAGGCAGAGGGACTCTTGAGGTCATGCCCAGACCACTAAGTCACTAGCCCTGAAACTTGGTGTTTTTCAACTTCCTGTTACATGAGATAAAGTCGTGTCCTGTTGAAGCCAATTTGATTCAGAGTTTCTGCTACTTGTGGCTGAAAAATACTAACTGATAAAGGATGTGGACGCACTTCTTCTTCAAGCAACCTTTGAAGATTGTAGTTTGCTACTGAGTTTACCAGTGAAGAAACTATACTCCCAGAAGGTGCTAGGTCTCAACCAAAACCACACATCCCCTCCTGGCCGGAAAGCTAAGCAGGACTGAACTATGTATTAGTCAGTTAAAAGTGCAGAAAAGAAACTCAAAATTGACGTATGCTTTTTAAAAAGTTTATGGGCAGATATGTGTGACAAAAAGATGACAGCAAATTATAACTTCACACAACTGGATTCAGAGGCTCAAAGGTGTCATCAAGATTCTGTCTTTCTCCATCTCAATTACTGTCTGTCTTGGTTACTTTTTTCTCATTGCTGGGACAAAATACCTGACACTCAAAATGAAGGAAGGAAAGATTTATTTAGTTTACAGTTTTTGCAAGTGTCAGTCCATGTTCAGCTGGTTCCAAGGCAGGGTGGCATGGCACTGGGGCAACACTCCAAGGCAGCAGAGCGAAAAGGCAGAAACAAGCCTCTTCTTTACACTGTACACAGGCCACCCTCCCCACCCCACCCCACTCCTACCCACCCACCCACCTTCCAGGGCAGGTGCAGCAATCACAAAATCTCCTTGCCCTCCTCTTGCACAGGATGAAGGTATTTACAAAATAAGAATCCAGGCTTCCTGCTGAGTCTCTCAGTTAAACTTCTAAACTTCTCAAGTGGACACAATGTATCAACCATAACACTGTCTTTCCACCTCAGCCTTTATTCCCCACAGTGCCTCTTCCTCGGGCAACCACTCCTGGGAAGCATTTGGTTGCTGCTTAACCAGCTTAATGCCCCAGAGAAAAGGGGATCTCTTTCAGGGCAGCACTAGCAAAGAGCCTGAGGCAGATCTTCCCTGGCTAAGGTACAGCACTTGCAGGACCCTGAACCAACTTTAACTGGGAAAGGGTCCTCTAACCAACAGATTGCAACTACCTGTCTGTCTCTAAGGCCTGGACAAAGATCAATACTCTCTTAACCAGAGGGATGGAGGGAAAGATGCGTTTTCTCAAAGAAAACAAACACCTCTGTCAGCAGGGAAAAAGGATTCTGGGCAAGAGAAAACAGTAGATGCAGATGCTTATGCAGCTCTGGTGTACTTGGATTTAGGGAAAAGACTGAGGTTGGGGCGGGGGGACCATGTGGCTATTACACCAAGTCTGCCAAAACAGTAGTTAGGAATAGAGAGGGAAGAGCAGGGGAGGAGTAACCGCCTTAGTTGGCCTGGCCAAAGAAGAGAAGCTGAGGCAAGACTTTCAGTGCAAGTTGTTTATTTTGGAGGTACAGATAAGAACTAGCAATAGAGAAGGGAGTTGGGGGGCAAGGGGAAGGCAGCCAGTAAAGGGAGTGTTATCAAGCAGTGTACCCCACAAGGGGACCCAGGATGCTGCATAACACACCCAGTTCAGTGGTCTCATTGGAAGGTAAGTGGGGGTGTGTCCCCCAGTACCTACCACTAAGGCTGTCCTAGGAGGTGCACTTGTAGATGGCCATTCTAGTGGACATGGGTGTGTCCTGGAGTTATGGAGGATGCTCTTAGGGAAAAAGACTGGCTGTTGGACTTCAATTTCCAGGATGTGGGCCAGGCACTGCCAGTGCCTCTGATAGAGCTAACATCATTCAAGCCACTGCTGGGTACTTGCATCAGTCAGTACTTATTAGAGAAATAGATTTAACTCAAACTATACAAATATTAAGAATTTACAAGATTGGCTTACGATGGCTGCCCACAAAGTCAGGTGCGGGAGAGCACAAAAGATCTCTGTACAAGCTGGAAATCCGAATGACCCAGGTGAGGGCCTGGAGCTCGTGTGAGTCCATATCAGGAGGCTGAAGGGTCTGCTATGGAAGGATGAAGGGTCCGTCCTGGAGGCTGCAGAGATTGCCCTGGGAGCCAAGAGATGACGCTGCCTTTATGAAGGCAAAGACTCCTCTGAAGAGACAAAGTGAGCCTTTCTTTTTGCTTCCCCATTATACCATTCAAGCTACAAGCTACAAGCTGCCCTAGGGTGGGTCTTTACGGTCCCAATTTAGTCGGGTGTTTCTTACTCAAGTTAACAAAATCGGTTATCACAAAGCAACCCCTTCATATACCGAGATTACCAACATTCAAGCTCACCTGTGAGCCTCAGAAACCTGTCTTCAGCAGGCAAAATGGAACAGCAGGGATCTGAATCCAAGATCTCTGACTTGAAGCTGATGCCAAATTCAGCTGGGTAATTCTAGGCCACTGCCAGGCTCTGCCAACTTTTCAGAGAAGAAAAGCTGAGCTGCCACATGAGGGCCCATCCAGCTGCCCACCTTCGCTGATGGTCACTCTCTGGAGTCCCTGTTTGTTCTCCTTGAGTGCCAAACGTGGCCAACGATCAAGTCCTTCCCTTCTGTGACGACAGCCTTTGGCAAGGTCTCTTTCCTGAAGTGTTTTCTGCAGCCGCTAATGAATGACACTTAAATTTTCCAGGAAAAGCTGCTTCTTTTTGAAGTAGTGAACAATCTTTGCTCTTGATTGCAATCTTTTGGGGCTGATTTTGGCCACTTGGTTTTTATTTTCTGATGACGACAGTGATGAGAGGGAGAGGAAGTGTTTGGGCTCTGCTCGTCTACAGAAATTGCAATCCCAGGAGGCGAGGATTTAGGCAATCAGGGTTGTAAGGGCAGAGAAGCCTGTTTTCTTTTCAGCTGTGTGAACAAGTTATTCCTGGTTTGTAACCCAATATAAGCCACAGTTTCCCGCAAAATCAGGACGTGTCATGGAATGGGGAAGGGTATGTCACTTTCTCCCACTGATTTCACTCTATCACAGGAATACAACTATTTCTAGAAGTCACATCCATAATTTTTAAAATCAAAGTCTATGGGGAAATACACCTTGAGTTAAAGAATTTTATATTATAAGAAATTTTCACAAGGTCCTCATTTCCAGAGTAAGATACATCTGAACGGTTGGGCTAGACATAATTGTGAAATGGGAAATAAAAGACCCATATTGCTATAAAGCTCCTGGTGTATTTTTAATCTGACTTTATTTCTCAACATTAAAATTAAGAATGTTTGTTCATTAAAAGACTGCTTTGCAGGACCTGGCAGTGAACACCTACAGTTCCAGCCATTCATTAGGATGAGGCAGGAGGATTGTAAATTCAAGGCCAGCCTGAGCAACACAATGAGACTGTGAGATCCTATTTTTTATTTAAAAAAAAAATCTAAAACTAAACAAAATTGCCTTAAGTGAGAGAAAAACCAAAGAAGATTAAAACAAGTTATTAAATATATATGTAACAATTTATATCTAGAATATATTTTTAAAATTTGCACAAATCAGTGAGGGAAATGCAGTCAAGTCAATAGAAAAAAATGAACAAACTATCCAAATGGCCAGAAATATACAAATAAGAGCTCAACCTCACTGGGCATTGAAGAAATTGCAATTAAAATCATAATACACTATCATTATAAACCCACAAAAATGGCTAAAAGGAAGAGGAAGCCAGGTGTGGTGGCGCACACCTAGAATCCTAGCACTCCAGAAGCTGAGGCAGGAAGATTGCTGCAAGCTCAAGGCCAGCCTGAACAGCACAAGACTCTGTCTCAAAAAACCAAAAAAATACTGGGCATGGTGATGCATGTGTGTAATGCCAGTACTCAGGAGACTGAGGCAGGAGAATCCCTCCAAGTTCAAGGCCAGCCTATGCTACAATAGTAAGCTTAAAACCAGCCTGAACTACATAGCAAGACACTGTGTCAACCTAAATAAATAGATAAATAGATAGATAGATATAAACAAATAAATAAAGGGAAGAGGAAAAATAATGTCAAGGAATTTGGAGCAACTAGAACCCTCCTATTCTGTGGATAAGCAAATTAGGTCAACCACTTTGATAACTGTCCTTCTAAAAAAAAGCAGGAAAATGCATTCTCTTTAATGCACATTCTTAAATACTTATCCCTCAGACAGGTCCCAAGTTTTCACCCAAAGACAAGTGCTACAGAACAAGTAACAACATCCCAAGCTGCAAGCTACCAGCTGTTCAGCCAAAACAAGAGGACAAATAAAGAGTAGAAAATTCAGACAATGCAACTCTACAGGATGAGAGCCAAGGATACAGCTCAGTGGCACAGCCCCTGCCTGGCAAGCGCAAGGTCCTGAGTTCAATTCACCATACAACAAAAACCCCAGGTGGCAATGAAAATAACAAACTATCACCACACTCAACAACCTAATACTGAGAAAAAGGAGAAACAAAAATGCGTAATTTCTGTCTCCATTGATATAAGGTCCAAAAGCCAGCAGAACTAACCCCTGGATGAAATGGGAGTAAGAGAGTGTTTATGCTTGGGGACGCCAAGCTGGGGGGACATCTGCGGCAAGCTCTCTGGGTTTCTCAAGAGGCTCTGCTTCTTAATCTGCTACAGGAATCTATCCACTTTTTTATTTTTTCAGTACTGGTGTTTGGACCCAGAGCTACATCTCATCCTTTTTTATTTTGAGACAAGGTCTTGCCAATTTGCTAAGTTGCCCAGGCTGAACTCCAACTTGCAACCCTCCTTCCTCAGCCTCCCAGAGACACTTTTTAAGAATAAGTACCAAACCATCTATTGACTGGAAAGCCCCTTGTGTGAACCTGGAAAGCCTAGGGAGAGGCTGCGGCTTGCAGTCTATAGTGACTTCCCAGGATGAGGGGCTATGTCACCTTGTACCCCTCCATCCTTTCTTAATCCCCCCACCCCATGCAACTGAGAGCTGCTGTGTGATCCTGAACCAACCAGAAACAGGGCTGCAGGTGACCTTAATCCTTCCAGAAAGTTATCCTAGTCCCTGCTGAGCCCTTGAGAGAAAGAAAAGCCAATCCTTGACATGAAAAGCAGGCACCTCCTTGTTTGCAGGCACCAAGACCTGGACCCCAGTGTGGGGAGCTCTGACATACCAGGCCCAGCAGAAGAAGGGACCGATGCTTTCCTGGGCTGCAGGGGTGTGTGCATTGGACACAAAGGATGTGTTCTACTGTGGTAGTGGAGAGCAGAGAGCCCAGCCTGGCCAGCCTGCCCAGCAATCTGCACTGGGTCTGTCTGCAGTTTCCCTCCTTCCAGGGTAAGGGACCCGTCCCTTGTGGAAGGAAGAGGCTCTTACAACCTACTATCAGACAAAAGTGAGCCAGAGAATCTCTTTATGGACATCTCCTAAACAGAAAGGCAGCCGAAGATCAGAGTTTCTCTCACTTGCATGAAAAGAGAAATTCTAGTCTCTAGGGATTGCGCTGAGGGAGGAGTTCCCCAAAGTACACTTAGCGTGTAAGCACGGCCTCGGCACATGCCCTCTCAGCTCAGCTTTCCATTCACAGAGGCCCCTTGCCTCCCTGTTTATGACCAGTCCCGTACCCCGGTGTGTTTCTCTGCCTCGTGGTAAGGGAGAAGCTGACATCCGCAGTTCCACGTCCACCCTGACCCCTTCCCTTGAGGGAAGCAGGAAAAACAGACCCACAGGAAAACACAGGGCTCAGCGTCACCCTGGGAGGAAGCACTGGGATCCCCGAGCCCCTGGACCATAGCCAGAGCCTCTCAGGGTTCAGGATAAAACTCTGAAAGGTGCAAGCTGCCCACTGACCTGCCAGGCCATACTACGGGCAGGCTGAGGCAGGAGACTTAAGACCCCTGTAGGATGGCAGGAGAGCATGCTAAAAACAGGGGGTGCGGGTGTGTGTGTCAGGGGCTGAGGGGAGCCCCCACTTCCTCCCCACTGGGCCATGCTTTAAGACTGGGAGAATCCCCCTGAGGGATGGATTTTTCATTTCAGCCCAATCCTACCCCAAGAGGCCAGGCAGCCAGCAAGGCACCCAGCTGTCAATCCCAGCTGCCTGTGCAGACACCCTGGGAGGGGGGTGTCCCCTTACCCTTTGTGGGGCTGGAGATTTTATGGGAAGGCAAAAAAATAAATAAAATACACAATAAATAAAAATGTTTCATTTTTATAAAATGACCAACACATATGTGTGGGTGTGTTTTTAATTAAGCAGTGCAGCTTAATGGGGCCTGGCTGCTGCCTCATCCAGCCGTTCCTGGGGTGTGAGGAGGCACTGGGTCCAGATGAGTGCCTCAAATCAGCCCGGGGTGTGATTAGATGATTACTCCCCGGAGCTTGTGCAAGATGAGCTTGCCGAGGAGAGTAGTCCACAAAAGTAGGAGGGAGAGGAGCTACTCCGCTGCTTTGAGAAGATGGAGGTGCTGATTCCGGTTGTCAGGGCCTCAGCTGCTGCCTCCTCCCCACAAGACCCACCCATGGGTGGCCACCTTGCTGAATGGAGGTAATGTCTTTTTAAATGATCAAGGCCTAGGAAATAGGTGTTTCAGCTGAAATAGAAAAGGAAGGGTGCAGAGAGACCTCACTTTGTAATACATTCTTCTTTCCTTCAAGGAGCAAGAAGCTGCCCTCATCCCCAGGAAGGCTCCAATCATCCCACCCAGGCTGCAGACTCTTTAACAGTATCCTGTCTGAGACATTCCCACTCTCTTGGTCTCCCTGAAGTTTCCAGGGGAAAGAACTTGCAGGTCTATCGTAGCTGTGCTGGTCTGGATAACGGATGAAGGAAAAATTAAAACTCAAGATGCTGGTGAGATAAAACTGAGCTATATAATAAAACAGCTCGTATCAGGTGTGGTAGTGCACAGCCAAGCACCCTGTCTCGAAAAGTTAAAAAGGGGTGGGGCTGTCGCTCAGCACAGCGGCTCTGGTTTCAATTGCCAGTACTGCAATTTATCAGTAAATCAATCATAAACAGCTAAGATGGAAAAACACGAGGAAGAAAAGAAATAGGGCCACTTGCCCTGGCGGAGAGTCACTGAAGGACTGTGGCTGATACATTATGTCAACTTGAGAAGTTTAGAAGTTTTACTGAGAGACTCAGCAGGGAGCCAGGAGTTTACTTTGTAAACATCCTCATTCTGTGCAAGAGGAAGCCTAGGAGATTTTGTGAGTGCTGTGCCAGGCCCTGGGGGGTGGAGGAGGTGGGGAGGGAGGTATATACCATATAAGGGAGGAAAAGAGGCTTGCTCTTCTCTCTTTTGCTCTGGATGCTGCCCTAAATTGTCCCAGTGCCACACTACCCTGCCTTGCAGCCAGCTGACTATAGACTGAAACCTCCAAAAACTGTAAGCTAAATAAACGTTTCTTTCCTTCATTTTGGGTGTTAAGTATTTTGTCCCAGCAATGATAGATAAGTAGACAAGTAAGGAGAAAAAAGGCATGGCAGAGAGTTATTGCTGTCCTCCAGGAGGGAGCTCAAAGGTGTGCTAAGCCTTGAGAATGTGTTTCTCTTGTGACATCTCAAGAGGCCAAGGATAGATCTGTGGGTGCAGGATTTCATGACTGTGATACAGTTCTATCTTTCTTCCAGCAACATACAAAGAGACTGAGGTACTTGGGTGCCCAGGTATATTTAAGTCAAATTTGGATGAAGGCAGGATTAGAAAGATTTAGAGAAGGCCCAGGGTCCAGCACAGGAATCCCGTGTAGGCGTTTGGGCTAGTGTCCATGCAGGGACAGACACAAAGGGCTGTGCAGACCTCACAGAGGTGCACCTGGGA